TTCAACCCAGCGGACACATGTGTCCTTAGAAAGTCTTTATAATGTTTTATAGACATCACAATTCCGTACGATGTCCTTATGACGTCCAATGAACGTTCTATACCCGCTGGAAATGAAATCTTGCAAAAAAAAAGTTTGTATAAACTAGCAGGAAAATAAATTTCTTTCTTAATACTTTTTTTCAGTAATATGCATAATTTAAATTTATTTTAAAATAAATTTCAAAATAAATTTAAATTAAAAAAAAAAGCTGTTGCAATCGTTTTTAGAGTTAACGTGCCGTCCCAAACCCGTGTTCGGATTTTCAGATTATTCATTACTCTGGCCTCCCTGCGACTCTAAATATCAATCCGCCATTGAACTCAGTTATGGTGGAATATAAATGTCTGATTTAAAAATTAGTTTGCAATATTAAATCTAGAGAATTGTGATAAATATTCAGGGAAATGTTAAAGATACTTTAATCAGATAAAACTGTAACTTTTAAGCAATCGATAAAAAAAAGATCAAGAAACAATTAAAAGCAGAGGACCACAGGTGATTACAGTTTCAAAAGTTTAAATTTTATCTAAGCATCATTTTATTGCCAAAACCTAAAGTGATTGGTTGTGATCAATGAAAAATGCAATGGATTCAAATGAGTTGATAGTTTGGATTTTTCTAAAAATTTATTGTGCAGGATGCTGTTTGAAGATTTTACTGGAAAAAGAGCCAAACTACTTTGGCATCTTTTTCTTCTTACGATTGCTACGATTATTACGAACTAAATTAGATTTTTTTTTTTATAACTTATTTTGTCACTAAATGTTTTACATACAATTAACTTTAATTCATGTATACATTTATAAATAAGATAAAAAATAAAATAATGACAGGAGCAAGTAGAAGACTGCAGTCTTATCATCAAGCCCCTTTCATTTGTGACTTTGCAGTAAGTTTCACATGAGCTTAACGTGACATTAAAAATTCATAGAAGCCTTGTACGTAAAAAACAAAGCCTTGTACGTAACGATCTGATAGATGGGTATAGAAAAGAAAAACTATTTGTATTGTGATATAATCATCGTTTGTGGTCATCCAAAAGAGATAAGTTCGTTTTAGTTATTATTATTTTGAAATCTAAAAGTAGGAGAGTATGTTGACGTCACTTAAGTTAAATAGGTGCTGTTTGACAGCTGCTTTAAAGAGATTTGATGACTTCATGTTTTTTATTTCTTCTTCAAGGATCGAAATCCATAGCCGCGGTCCTCGAGATAAGGTAGAGAAATCTGTTATTTTAAGTAAAATCTTCGGAATGTTAAAGTTTTGAAAAGAGTACTTTGTTGGGTATTTGTAATCAATGATGGAAAATGGATTTTTAAAGTATTTTGGTAGTAAATTTTTTTGGGATTGAAATATAAACAATACATTTTGGAGAGGGTTCAGTTCATAACATTTAGAGCTCCAATTTCCCTGAATAATGGTTTAACATTGGTATATCTGTTAGCATTGCTTTTGATTTACATATATCTTTGCTTACCCAAACGATATTGCAATAGTTGATATAACTGTGAATTAATATTTTTTAAGCAAGTTTTAATTAGGTGTTTTATTTTATGCATGATGCCGATTGACTTGGAGATTTTATTGTCAATGTGCAAAATATGATTCTTCCAACTAAGATTTTCTTGAAAAATTCTTCCCAGGATTTTCATCGAATGGTCTTTTTCTATATTAATGCTGTTGATCATAAGCTGGGGAAGCTGAAGTGGTAAATTAACAGAGTTAGATGATTTGTGAAATAAAACATATTTGGTTTTGAGGATGTTTAAGGAAAGTTTATTAGCTTTAAACCACTTGTTTAAGTTTTTATATTTGAGTGAGTAAAGAAAATATTCGCATCATTTGCAAAAAGAGTAAAATTAAGAATGTTTGAAGTTAAGTAAATATCGTTCACGTAGACTAAAAATAGTAAAGGTCCAAGAATGGAGCTTTGGGGTACACCACAACTAATCGTTTGTAAACGTGTACATGTTGTGTTGTACGACACTCCTTGTTTCCTGTTATTTAAGTAATCTCTGAATCATCTTAGATTGTTGTTTCTTACTCCATATATCTCTAGTTTGTGTAGGAGGATCTCGTGGTCAACTTTATCGGATGCTTTGGTTAAATCGACAAACAAGGCTAGAGTATATTCATTATTTTCAAAACCATTCAAAATTTTATTGACTAATTCAATTATTGCATTATATATTGAATGACTCTTGCGAAAACTAAATTGTTTTTTATATAGAATATTATTTGTTTCAAGATAGTTGTATAATCTATTGTACATAATACGTTCGAGAAGCTCTAAAAAGCAAGAAAGTATTGATATAGGCGTATAGTTGGATGCTAAAGAGTTGTCGCCATTTTTATAAATAGGTACTACTCTTGCTATTTTTAGTTTATCAGTAAAAACACCAGTTTTTAAAGATAAGTTGTATAATGTTAAATGAGGCGATTCAATAATATCAAATACTGATTACAAAGCACTTGCATTGATTTTGTTGGTTCCTAAACTCTTGTTGGTTTTTAGTAAATTTAAGGCTGTTCAAAGTTCATCCGAGGATGTTTTAAACTTATTCATAACTGAGTGTGTTTTTTTTAAAAAGACTTAAACGTTTTGTTTCCGGAATTAGTTTTTCGGCTAAATTTTTACCAACGTTTATAAAAAATTCATTAAACATATCAGCAATTTTGTCTCTCTCAAAAACATCTGTGTTTTTACTTCAGAAGATACTTCAGAATAAATTTTATTGTGTAATCAGTGATTTCACTCATCACAAATTTCTGTTTGTGTGTTTCTTAGTAAACCAAATTTCTTTGTCTAATGAGCTTATTTCAGTGATGAATCAACTGTGACGCGTTTAGCAACATATGCCAGTCTTCAACGGCCAATCGATAATCAATTTATTAACTTCTTTTATTAATACATTTATATTTATTTTACCAGTGATGAAATAAGCAGTGTAAATGCCAAAAATGATTTTGTACCAATAACACAGTAGCAGGTAACCATAGTGATAACAAATTTTTGCCTGTAAATAACCATTGAGTTTGTGTCAGTTTTATTTCATAAGAAAAAATATAATTTATTGCAAAAGTTAATGAAAGCTACAACTATAACTTGGCTAATTTACTTCACTCTCTTACGTTAAAAATCCTGGGAATTGGTTGCATAATAATGTGCATCATGATGTATAAAGGATTAGTAAAGCTTGTAAAATTTTAGAAGTGTTGGAAGATGTTTTTATTGATTTTATTCATCCTTATAATATGGCTCAGACATCTTACTGGTCTAGCATATATATTTGTTGGGAACCGGATCAGTATGTTATTGCAGTCATCTAATCAGTTATGCAACAGATATTACAATTTACCATCAACTTTTGTTTCAGAAATTAAATATTAAACAAAAGTTTACTGTCATATCCTGATAAAATCTGCAACCGAGATCTGTTGGGTACAAAGTTGTAAAGAGTATGAGTATAAGTTGACCTTAATTTTTCATTTATAGGACATACCTCTGCAAAATGATTCTAATTTTTTCTAGAAGAGTGAAATAAGCTCTTATCAATGAAATAATTATAAAAAAATCTGCATGCATAGAGTTTTAAATGGTTCAAATACATATCATTCAGGGTTCATAATTATATAATAATAAAAATAATAATTCAGTATTCATGTTTATTAAAGAGCTAATATTTGCTCTATATTATAATGTTTGTATAAAAAACAAAGACAAAATAACAATACCAAAAATATTTTTCTTCTGGGGTATGTCTCTACAAAAAAACCATTAAATATTTACGGTACGAAAGTTATGGGGAACCATAAACTAAAATGTAAAGACGATATAAGACTTGTACTAAATTTTTTGATATCTGAACCCTTGATTTACTAGGAAACCTTGTTTTTGAGATATTATAACATTTCATTGCAAAAATATGAGCCCAAATAATCAATTTTTAGCAACAGAGTTATATTGGAGTTAAGTATTACAAAATATCCTATAAAACCTGAAAAAATAAAGATTACATCAACCTGAAATATTAAAGGTAAAATAAATCTAAAAATTTAGCAATCTTAATGACACATGTTTTATAACATGCTGACAAAACTCTATCAAAATCTGGGATGATCGCGTAAAGACTGGGCCACTTGATGTGGAATGATCCAATTTTCTAGACCACTTCGTGTGAAATGACTAAAAAATTGTACCGTAATGTTTTTCACACACAAAGATTTTAATTTTGGTGCAATATGTAAATTGAAACGATATGACAGGGAAAAAAATGTCCTATGTGAGACTTTTATAATGCAGCAGAACGATCTGTTTATGAACAACAATATTATGATATTTGTTTTGATCATAAACAATGTTTATGATCAAAACAAATATCATACTTTTTATAACTTATTTAGTTTTACTTGAATTATGATTTTTTTTTTAATTATTTTATTTTTCAAAAAGTAAAATAACCAAAATAAGCTGTTCTCCTCCAACCATTCACACACACCCACCCCCACCAACCCACTCTCCCTCACCCACACAAACACTATCAAGTGTCATTGTTTGATCGTATGAGCCAACTACAAAAAACTTTACGCAATGAAATTCGAAATGCGACGCGAATATTTCATACGATGAAACTCAAAATGTTTTAAAAACTAGCGCTTTCTAAAATGCCAATTTATAAAAGTTTTGTAAGAAATATCTGTTAAAAATGTGACTTTTGACTCATTGTGCGATTGCATAATAAGTTTTGGATCACATGTTTCTCTTTAATTGATTCCTTGTAAAGTTGCTATTAATGGTTAATGTCGTAAAATGATTCAATTTTCTGTCAGTAACAAAAAAGCGCTTAAAAACTTTAAATGTATTGAGATATATGAATTAAACATATCTTAATTATTTTGAAATAATTAAAACAAAAATTTGACAAAACATATTTATACTGGTAATAAAAAGTTCATACCTTAAAACCAATAATCAAAACGCAACGGTAAATAATAAAAATTTCATTAATCAATATTTTTGTAACGTGAATTTTGCTACTATATACCAATAACTAATTTGAACTGATCATTCATCATGCTTTGACAACAAATAACATAGTAATTGTACAACAAATATTAATCAAGCTTTATTGAATTGATTTTAAACATATTTTTAAAAAGGTATTTAAATAAATTCAACCGATTTTGGGTTACAATGGTATTAAGATATTATAAACCGCTCAAAAACTTAGCATGAATTATAAGTGTTTTATAGAAAGTTATTTTGAAACACTTCTATTTAAATAAAAAGCCGAGCGCGTCATCTTTTTTCCTTGGTTTAATTTATCATTTCAAACGAGGTTACAACTAATATCTTGTATTATTAACTTACGCAAGAAATAAGCAGTTTTTCAAAGACAGCAATATGTTTTAATAGTTTAAATCAAAACTCAATTTGACAGTTCAGAATGTTAGCATATTCCAAATAAATATAGGATTTCCCAAGCAACCATATAACATTTATTTTATTGAGCAAAGAGGTTTAATGAAGCTAATATAATTGAAATTTTTTTAAAATGTGTAAACGGTGCTTGTTTGCTTTTTATAATGTATAAGTGCGACTTGTTTTCCTCGGTCAAATGTTCAAAAGCTAAGTGGATTTTTTATATGACTACTATAAGCTATATATCTATATGAAAATTTATGATTTTTATTTTCAATGAAAATAGAAATGTAATTTTTTTCACAATTAAAATTTATTTTTAAAAGTGGTTGCTGCGGTTTTGAAATCTCTTTTTTTATCACTACGTGTTGCAGAATTCTTTTTAACAGCTTTCGCTTTCCTGCAGTTATTTTTCTATTACAAGCTTTTTTTAAAAATTTTAGTAGTACTACCAATAAAATAAATAAATAATAATTACACCTACTAATATGCTCAAAAGGGTTTGAATGTTATTTGCAATGGGAGTGTAGTAATTTCTTATGATTATGCAGGAACAATTATTCGATAAGCATGAAACAAACTCATTATTAACCCCAATCAATCAATTAGGAAATCATTAACAAACCAGTGTTTATATTACGATTAACTAAATTGTCATTTTGACGGTTTAACTTTTTAAAAAAAAATAATAGTAATAATCCCCATTATTGAAATATTTGGTCTAAAGAATTGTAGAGGAGAATATATATATATATATATATATATATATATATATATATATATATATATATATATATATATATATATATATATATATATATATATATATATATATATATATATATATATATATATATATATATATATATATATATATATATATATATATATATAAATTAGTAGAAAACCATTGAACAAAATTTTTTCATATTGCATTGTGTTTCATCAATAAAGTCAAAAATGTTTTTTTTTGAAAAAACAAAAATTTTTATTAAGTGACTAAGTGATTTATTAAGTGATTTCTAATGATTTTTATTTGTTTATGTATATATATATATATATACATATATATATATATATATATATATATATATATATATATATATATATATATATATATATATATATATATATATACATATATATATATATATACATATATATATACATATATATATATATATATATATATATATATATATATATATATATATATATATATATATATATATATATATATATACATATATATATATATGTATATATATATATATATATATTTATATATATATATATATTTATATATATATATATATATATTTATATATATATATATACATATATATATATATATATATATATATAAATATATATATATATATACATATATATATATATATATATATATATATATATATATATATATATATATATATATATATATATATATATATATTGCGGTGGGAAATTGGCTAGCAAATAAATCGCTGTCTTTATCATATAATGATAAAGACAGCGATTTGGCCACGAGGATCACTAGCTTTTTTAAGTTAGCCAAAAGCTCTCGATATTTGTAAAGATAAAAAGGTTACGAGGACAGCTAGCTTAATAAGCTAAAGACCCACTGGCTACTGTAGCTAGCGTCATATCGTAATAAAAAATCGCTGTCCAAAAAAATTTGATATGTAGATATTAACCTGCTATAGATATGTAGGTATTTTGTAGCTAGCTACAAAGCTACGATATGTAGCTTGCGACACATTGCTACAAAACAGCAATGTTTAAAATTTAATTATTCTCATAATTGTAATAGTCTCAACATAGAAATTCGAATTTTTAAAGATGTTAATGATATAAAGAAAAAATAAAATAAGAAAAAAAAATCGTTTTAAAGTTGCTAAAAAAGCTAGCTAGTTGCTAGCTTTTATAGCGACTAGGTAGCTTTTATAGCTAGCTAGTCGCTATAAAAGTTTTGTTATCTTGACAGGGCCGACGATGCTGTTATGAAGTGGAAGCACAATCGTCAATTCTATAAAAAAGTCCTCTATATCTAGAATTTTCTTTAAATAATAAAAAAGTAGAGGGGGGGGGGGTTAGAGCATAAGCCTCTAACTCCCCCCCCCCCCTCCTTCATTACCGTATCATCGTCTCATCGAACTTCTTTTATTAGTCCCTTGGAGGCAGTTATACATCGTTTAAGTCAAACATTCATTCAGTCAAACCGTTTTCCTAAGTCCCCAGGAGGTTCAAGTTATCTGAAAGTAAATGGTAACTGTATGTATAATTACATAAATGTATATTTACGTTTATACATACATATATATGTATATATATATATATATATATATATATATATATATATATTTTTTTTTTTTTTTTTTTATATACATGTATATATATATTTTGTCTTATTTGTGCGTATATATGTGATGTTTATTTATCCAAACGGGTTGCTATCTTGGACAAAAATAAAGTAAATTAGGCATGGATCAGTAGTTAGTTGTTTTTTTCCCACTATTGATCACCTAATGTTCACATTCGCTTGTAATATGTTCACATTTTACAAGGGAATTTAGATTTGTGTTTCCATTTTTTAACCATTTTTCAATCTGAAATTTCAACACTTTTTCAACGTTTTTTTAACGTTGATTTGCTCGATGGGTTGAAGACGATCAAATAAGAAAACACAACACACTTTTTCATACTTAATATATTTATGAGCAATTTAATTCGCTCTTATGTATAATATAAAGTATTAACTAAATATTAAGATTGAAAGATATTACATTCAAGCATTGTCTGGTTTTCTGAGAAAATGTCTTAATTCCTAAGCGCATTTTCGAATTGAGGGCCTCTTTTATATACATTTATCTCAAACCATAAAAGGTACTTGTAATTTTATCCTTATTGGAAACTGTATCCCATTGTAATTTTAATGGTTTAAACTTAGAGTTATGCTTACGAAAATACTTATGAGTCAATGAGTGCTTAAGGGGTATTATTGCATTGTTGAAACGACTCCGCTATAAAAAGTTAAACTTTTTGTATATTAAAAAAAAAAACTAAACCAAATGTCTTACCAAAGTTACTTATGATGTTATGTATGTCTTTAGTGTTAGATTACCCGATAGGTTAGGCAAGGCCATGGCCTGGGGTCCCCGATAATAAGGAGCCCCAAAAATTGTTTCCAAATTTTTAAATTGTATTTTTTAATTTGATGAATATTTAAATATCATATATTATTCTGAAATAATCAATAATGCAAATAATGTAATTTAAATATTTATATCTATTATTATCATATTTCGTTATTGTATTTAAAAATAATTGAAATATTAAAAACGCTTGAAATATTACCACAAAAAGGTGTTCCTGCAACCTGTGCCGGCTGGTGGCGTGTGGGAAGTGTGCAATCATAGTTAATAGACTTAAACTGGTTTGGAAACTCGGAACTTTGCGTCATTCTAATTATACTTAATCACTTTTTTTTTTCATTTGATTTTTCTTGATTCAATATTTTTTTTTTGTAAGCATTTTTCTCATAAAAGTGTCTCAGAAAGGAAAATACCAAAATTTTTTTTTGCTTAATCAGCATATTTTAGTAATAATAGAATTGGCGGGTTTTCAATTTTGTTTTTAATGCTATTTTAACAACTTTGTTGCTACAGTTATTATATTACTATAATCAGTCGTTATTATATGTTCTTGATTTTTATTTATTTTATCATTTATATTAGTCAGTTTAACAATAATTTAGGGAACTATTAAATAAAGTCTAACGTGATTTTGCTTAGAAATGTTATTAAGAAAACGTAAAAATTAAATTAGACACAATTCAAAATACCGAAATTTAGTTAAGGCTAATCGTGACAGTTCACTTATTATAAACTTTACAAAACTTTGGTTCATAACAACTTTGCATCTGTTTTTACAAAAGTTGAAATTGATCTTTGTATTTTTTTTTGACACTTATGGTTACTAATTGTTCTGCGGAGTGCTCGTTTTCAAAAACAAAACAAAATAAAAATGAGCAAAAAAGTACCATGCTTTAGGAGGGTTTAGAAACATTGAGCTTGATGTCTATTGAATCTATTAATGATTTTATAAATTTTGATGATTTTATAAACAATTTTTTAAAAAACATAAAAAAAATTTTTTAAGAAAAAATTATATAACAATGTTGATTTCTTAATGTGATATCTTTTATAAGTTATTTGTAATTGTTATAATTATAAATCAATAGAAACAAAAAAATAAAACTTTTAACAATATTTAATATTAGGGGTGTTGAAATTTTACAAATTTTTTTTGGAACATGTATGCAAGCTAGAAAGATGTGTAATCGTAAGTGATTTTAACATAATACTTTGATTTTTCAAACAAAAAAAATTTCACCTTGCTACACCCAACCAAAGTTTTTTTAAATTTGTAACTTTTTACAAGATTGAAATTTTCTGGAGATACATACAAACATGTATAAGATACATACAAACATGTATACGATATATTTGTTATCTTATAGGGGTATGCACGGATAATTCTTTCCCGTACCCCTACTCCCATTCTGTACTTCAGAAAAATAAATTCCTTCGTTGAAAAAAATGTTAACTGAAAATATAGATTAAGGTTTCTGCATTATTGAAGGCCTTGTTTTCAGTCTCTATAGTCTTAACTACATCATCTTCATCAACAATATCCAAGCTACTGTCAAAATCACTAGTACTAGATACTGATAACTTGTCCTCCGTCTCCTCAAGACATCCATATATGTACGCAAGGTTTAGCTTCTCAGCAGGTGTTAGTTGTTCAGCTGCCTCTTTATATGCTGCTTTAGTACGTGAAATTGGTTTTTTTATTTTATTCTTGATTATTAACATATTCTGCAGTTTCTTTTTATCATATATCTGTAAAATAACCTCCTGAATGGCTTTTACAACTCTCTCTGCTGCATCATTAAAAACTGCCAAGCTTTTAACAAATATTTGAAAAGCAATGAAATCTGGATCTATATTTCATGTAGACGAAGGATAAAAAAGCCACTTAACATGCCTCTCAGTGTGTTCAAGTATATCAGGCACTAACCATGACTCAGCTCCTACATAGTTAACGAGTGAAGGTGGCTCTGTGGATTTGAGAAACTCAGTCTTTTGTGGAATAAAACCAGAATTGTTCTTTCTCTCAAAATCATACTATTTTGTTCGAGGATACTGTACTAGCTTTCTAGCTAGTACAGTAGCCATTCTAGCCATTTCTATCATTGTAATGTTAATTTTAACAATTGAAATATTAACCAAAAAAAATAAAAATATACTTTTGAGTTGCTGTTACCCCCCACCAACTGGTGTAATTAAATATTTTAATACTTTTTTTAATGAAGTTATTTTTAAAAAAGAGTAACCACGAAAAGAAATTAAACTATTTAATTGGTGATTTAAATTTGGATTCTTTACAGTATCACGTCAAATACAACATTAAAGAGTTTTACAATGACATTTAAAAACGGAGCGTTTCCGATAATAACGAAACCGACAAGAATTACTGAATCAACGATTTCATTAATTGACAATATAATAACGAACGATATTTTTAATCATTCTCTTAAAAAAGGAATCATTAAATGCGATATCACAGATCATTTTCCGATTTTTTTCTCCATAAATACAGATACTAAAATAATACTAGATAATAAAAATTGCTTTTTTAAACGCATTTATAGTAATGCAAATTCAGCATCATTTAATGACCAATTATCTATGCTTCATTGGCAACATATTGATCATTCTCAGGACGCAAACTTAGCTTATAGCAATTTTCTTAAAACATTCTACGATATTTATGACGCAAATTTTCCTAAAATTGAAATTAACCGAAAGCTCAAAAAAATAACATCCCCATGGATAACCAATGCACTAAGAAAATCTTCCAAACCTAAAAAAAAAACTATAATTAAGTACTTAAAATCCAAATCAGTTGAAAATAAAACCATTTACAAAAATTATGCTAGAGAATTCGAAAGAAAAAGAAAAAACTAAAAAAAAAAAATACTATCTTGACTTACATGAAAAAAACATAAACAACTCTAAACGGACTTGGCAAGTTTTAAGAGAAATCACTGGTAAAGCTAAAACTAAATCAAGCGCTTTTTTTTTTTTTTTTTTTTTTATTTATTTAGCCGTACAAGTATTTACAAGTTCCGTGTTTTATAATTTATATAAAAATGACAAGGACGAGTAGAAAACAGGTTTGCCTTATCACCAAGTCCCTTGTTTTTTCAAGATATTTATATAAATACGTTGTAACTAATATTAAAAATTAAAAATGAGAGAAAAAAGCAAAATGTTTCATAGAAGTTTATACAAAATGCAAAACAGTTTAATAGAGTCTTTCAAAGTTATTTTTAATGTTTAAAAAATAATTTTAATTAATTAAAAAGTTCTCAATAACATGAAGGTTAACTACGGTAATGCAATGCTATTTATATTCAAATTTCAAAGTTATTCATTGAAAGAAAATTTAATAATTCATTCAAGAAAACAAAAATCATCAGCAACAACAACAACAACAACAACAAAAGAAAACATGAAAAAATGAAAACATAATGTTAATTTACAATCAAAAGATATATATGCACATACACATACACATGTATATATGTAAAAAAACAACAACAACAAAAAAAAGAAAACATGAAAAATGAAAACATAATGTTAATTTACAATCAAAAGATATATATACACATACACATGTATGTATATATCTATACACATACACACTTGCGCACGCATACATATACACATACACACACATTCTAAGCTTTGCTTAACGGTATTAAAGTTAATGATAAAATTTTATATGCTTCAAGCGATATTGTAGTTGAACTAAATAAGCATTTTATTTTAGCGGGGCCTAACTTAGCAAAAAATATTCCTTATACTAGTAGTTCATATGAATTTTTACCTCAAAAAGTAACAAATCTTAATTGCATTAAAATATCCATTAAGGAATTTGAAGCTGCTTTCAAAACGATTAAACCAAATAAAGCAATCGGATTCGAGAGTATCAACAAAAACGTCGTTATAAATTCTTACAATTTTATTGAAAATATTCTATTTAAAATCTTTTCGTCTTGCGTTAGCCAAGGGGTTTTCCCTGATCAACTTAAGAGCCATTATCTGAGAAATATAGGCAAAATCGGGAAAGTCTGGAAGTGATGTCTTCAAAATCTCTTCATTTTCAGATATCTTATAAAACACAATGAAATTAGGCCACAGTTAAATTTTTTTTCGAAAACTCCCATTATTTGCGGAGATATCGGGGGCTGAAATTTGGCCCATTTTGTAAAAATATTGGTGCATGGAACAAAATTACTACTTTTAGGGGCAATTTTAGCAATATGAATTTGAGAAACTCATTTATTTTTCTTATTTCTACTACTCTGAGTGGATTTCTCTGGTTAAAATAAAAATTCAAAATGTTTACATTTTTTATTGTCTAGAAATCACGGTTCAAAACCGCTAAATTTGAAATTTTACCCGTACTTTGACCATTTATATCTCCTAAGGCCATTACTTGCACATAATTTACTTAACTGCTTTTGAAAGCCAATAAGGTATACATTGAATTTATAGAAAAAAAATTATGAGTATGCAAGAGCCTGGGAAAGAGTAAGCTTCCAAAAATGAATTTTCGCGGTTAATACGCTTTGTTAGATTACAAATAACAATCGTGGCCTTAGGTCTGCCATAAAATGTATAAGTTATTTCGTTTCCTTATACATGCATCTTCCAATATCTGAAAAAAAATTTATGTGCTTAAGCGATAAAAAGCCTAGAGAAGTCCTAGAAATAGTCTAATTTTGCCACATTCTTAACCAACAAAATACCCTAGCAACGACATAGATATGCTTAGCAACGGCTTCTATAATTCGTTAATAATTAGTACTCTAATTAAAAATAAATAAAAAATACATTTTTATAACAAAAAACTGTATAAAAGAGCTTGATAAAAGTTATTTTCTAAGCTTCTTTAATGAGAAAAAGATCTAAACATCACACACTTTGAAGTGTTTATATCATTGTTAAAACAATTATGTAAATTTCGGATAAACGTTTTTTCAAATACAACTTGTTCAAGAAAGCAAACCAAATAAAGTTTTAAAGAAGTTTATCTGTCAATCTGAATTTCTATGTTATACATATCGTCTATTGAGAGAGAATAGTCCCCTCTTTGATTAGTTGGTGTTGGTGCATCAATCTTACAAATAACGTCATAATAACGTCAAATAACGATATAAATATTTGAGAGTATTTTCCTTGGTTGGTCACTTGAAACAGTTTTTTCCAGGTGTAGTAGAATATTCCATACAAGAAACATGAACATTGTCACGATTGACCTACAGGGTTAAGTTAAAAGTAAAACAACGTCTAATCATTGGTGCTTTCTAAATATATCTTACATTTAAATGTTGTGGTTAATAAATTAACAATTATATAACTTAATAAAAAAGATCTAATACTCAAAAATTAAATATTTTGATGTTATAACGTCTTACACTTTGAATTATTGCAGGATACCACAGCATATTATTCAATATATTCAATAGCAACCCCATCACCGATTTGAAAATCAGCTGCTAACTCCTTTGCTATGAGCTGAATATCGTTGTTTAAATCATCATCTTTATTTTGACTTGTATGTCTCGCATCATCAGTCAGATCAATCATGTCATCAGTTAGATTAGCATCTTCACAAAAAATGGTAACTAGCTTTCCTTCTCTTTTTTGTTTACTCCATCTAAAAAAATGTACTTGAAGCATGAAGGTAAATTCAAAATATTTATCTTAAAACTCAAGAAAAGAATAAAATTAAATTTTATATCATTCATACTTTGGGTATCAGTAAATATAGAAGTAAATTTACTCGCCTAGAGAATAATGATCGAATTTGTTGAGTTGTCACATATTCACTTGGCTTTAACTTTGTCCTCAGCTGCTGGTGAACCTGCTCTGGGCTCATTTTTTTTCCCTTGTTCTTCTCCAGACATAAACATCTGCATTAACAATGTTTTCTGCTTTGAAGAATATCTGAACACTTTTCTTTTTGGTAATGCCCACCCAGTGATGTCTGTGAAGTTTTCAATCACTTTAATGACAGATTGGGATGACGGCAGATAATCATAAGAATTTAGGTTTGAAATTTTCATTTTGTTGATATAAGATAGTTTTGCTCTGTCTACCATTGATTTCTTCACAGATTGAAAATTGTGGTTTTCTGATAACAAGTGTACTTCTAATGATTCATTGTCAAAAAATGAATCAGTGCAACCAAATTGTGTACAAAACTTTAAAGTGTTAACTCTTCTATCAACACGTGGTTTTTTGGAAATTTTTGGGGCAGTATAAATTTTGCAAGTCGAACTAAAGAGCTTAACAATTTCAACTGAAGTATGGAATGTCACATTTGTATAGTTCCATTTTTTACCTTTACCAATTCGGAAGTATCTCCACATTATCATGTGATCAGGGAAAAACTGAAAAGAATGATAACTGCTTATGTTGGGAATCAGATTTGATCCTGATAAAATAGAGGCTTTGGAATTTATTATAACTACAGCAACATCAGCGTTTTGAATTCCTTTACCATTATGAAGAGCCTCATAAAGATCTTCTGCAGTCAATAAATTGTTTCCTGCGTCAACAAAACTCCTAATGACACATTTCGCTCCTGCTGACTCTCTATCACATTGATCTTTTCCACGCGAAGGCTCGTTGTAATCATACCTTTTAAGGAAAAATTGTTTTGCTTTGCAAACATTGTAAAGGGCTTCTAAGTAGAAGTTTCCATGATAAGATGATGCATTATCTGACTTAGCATAAAGATTCTTTAAATAAGGAAAATCATTTTTAACTTTGGCCAAAACAACATCAGCGAGACAGAGTACATCAACAAGGCTTTGCTCACATCTATATACAGCAGTAAAATACACTTTTTTTTTCATTCGATCATTTTCATAGAAGAAGAAGACATCAACATGTAGAGTCATTACTTTTTTCCCAAAATATTCTTTTTGGCCTTCACGGAATTTAGCGGGCAATATTTTTTGACAAAAATCTTTTAGCCAAAATCCTGTTTCCTCATCAAGTTGCTCAAAAGCCATTATTTTGGCCATTTTTTGCTGCGCATCACGAATTTGATGTTTCATATAGGCTTCAACATCTTTTGTAGCCACATTTAAATCATATAGTAGATCTTCATCTTCACTTTGTATAACCAACTCACGAACCTGATTGATTACTGAAATGAGGTCAGTACAGTCAATGCATTGTTCATCGGTTATGTTTGATTGGTTTAAGTCCGGATCTATATCCGAAAGGGCAAATGAAGTTGAGTGACTATGCAAAGTTGAATTTTCACTACATTTGGAAGGATAATTACTCTTCAGATACCTTTTACCTTTTTTAAGAAACTTAGTAACATTTTTATATTTCCACTTCTCAGAAATGGCAATTAATGTTTGGAAACCGTTCATGCCAGCTGCTGTAACATCATCAAGACCAGCTAAAGATTTCCTTTGAGAAGGTTTTATTCCACAAAGAATTCTCCATAAAGAACTCTGACATAGGGACATAATTAGTTTCTAGGCAAATTTCTTTATAAAATGTGATTGTATGGCTAAACTTCATCATCAAAATGGCATTAGCCACTTTTTGTTTCTCTCCGTTGTCAAACTTTATTTTATTTATACCATATGCTACATCTTGAAGCAGACCTCGAGAAAATAAAAATTCCAAAAAATGTTCAATTTTTTCTTGAGGCATTCGGCATATTTTTACCTTACCCTTCTTTGGTATAGAAAGTCCAATGTTTTCTTTCTGCAACTTGCGTCCTTTTTCTATTTGATGTTTTTTGCAATCAAAGACTTTCATTAATGTCTCTTTAGTGTACTTATTATGATTTACAACTGAAAGCAAAAGAATTTTTCCTGAAGAATCGCTTTCTTGGAACATCTTAACTTGTACAATTAGGTCTTCTGGAACCATTTCAGTTGCAACATTTTTATCTTTACTGTTTAATACTTGGGTTATAAGTGCTTCTGATTGACCAGGTGCAATTGCTTCAGCAAATATCTTCTCGAACTGCACTTTACATTTCGCAAATTTTTTTTTAACTTTCTGTTTAGTTCCTTGTGTTAAGTCTTCTATTCGCTTTTGCGTTATGTGAAAAGACAGTGGACTTGCTCCTAGTGCTTCACACAAAGAATTAGCTTTTAATTTTGATTCTTCGATGGTCTTATCTGAAATGATTGCTAAATCTGGAACATAAACTTTATCAACATAAGAACTAGACTTTACTGTTGGAATTGGTTCTATCATGTCAATAGTATTATCTATAGATATAGTTTTTAGGTGCTTGAAGCAAAATACGGCTCCAATAGGTAGCGATGAATTACTTTTATTATAAGTAGCAAGGGTATTCAAAGGTATGAATCTAATTTTTGGTGCTTTTTTACCAACTTGAAATATATGACTTGGGTATTGACATCTGTTTGGCGGCTTCCATCCAATACCAAAAGAAAAACGGTGGTATGCACATAACCAGTCGTCGCATGAAAGATAAGTTTGTAATCGACTTTCAATTAGAGTTTTTTCATTATACTGGTTTGTCTGCGGTAACTATAAAATAGTAATGTTAAATTTGTCATCTATTTGTTGGAGGTATTGTTGCTTATAATTAAAAATATATATATTAATTGATAAATTATACCTTTAGTACTTGTAATGTCAGCAGTTAATTCATTAATTTGAAAGATCCCATGTTGTTTCTAACGCTTAAAAGGGCCACAAGAAGTCTGTCCTTTATCAAAATACACGCATTTTTCATAGAGACTGACTATATTGTTGCTCTCTGACATTTTGTATTTAACTTTTATTTTTTATTTTATTATTTTTTATTGAATAAACAAAAGATAACAAAACAAAAAAACTTTATTTCGTAGTTTCTCATCTCATGCTATGGCTATTTATTAAATTCATGTGCTAATTCTTCGAGAAGAATGTGTCTCCAAGGAAATAGTCTTGCAATCATTAATAATTGTCTAAAGAAAGTATTACAAATGACTGCCCAAAGGGTATTGCTTGTGTAGCAATCATTACAGTCATTAAAAAAAGTATCTTTAATGTCACTTCCTTACTTTGGTTATTACACTTTTGCCATCGCATTCTTTGAACCTATTGTTGCGCATTTTGTTACATTAAAAAAGCTTAAAAAATAATTTTTATCAAGCACTTTTGTACAGTTTATACAGTTTTGTTATAAAAATGTATTTTATATTTATTTTTAATTTGAGTACCAACTATTATAGAGTAAAAGTAGCCGTTGCTAAGCATATCTATGTCGTTGCTAGGGTATTTTGTTGGTTAAGAATATGGCAAAATTAGACTATTTCTAGGACTTCTCTAGGCTTTTTATCGCTTGAGCACATGGATTTTTTTTCAGATATTGGAAGATGCATGTATAAGGTAACAAAATAACTTATACGTTTCATGGCAGACTTAAGGCCACGATTGTTATTTGTAATCTAACAAAGCGTATTAACCGCGAAAATTCATTTTTGGAATCTTACTCTTTCTCAGGCTCTTGCATACTCATAATTTTTTTTCTATAAATTCAATGTATACCTTATTGGCTTTCAAAAACAGTTAAGTAAATTATGTGCAAGTAATGGCCTTAGGAGATATAAATGGTCAAAGTACGGGTAAAATTTCAAATTTAGCGGTTTTGAACCGTGATTTCTAGACAACAAAAAGTGTAAACATTTTGAATTTTTATTTTTAGCAGAGAAATCCAGCTAAAGTAATAGAAAAAAGAAAAAGAAATGTGTTTCTCAAGTTCATATTGCTAAAATTGTCCCTAAAAGTAGTAATTCCATTTCATGCACCAATATTTTTACAAAATGGGCCAAATTTCGGCCCCCGATATCTCCGCAAATAATGAGAGTTTTCGAAAAAAAATTTAACTGTGGCCTAATTTCATTGTGTTTTATAAGATATCTGAAAATAAAGAGATTTTAAAGACATCACTTCCAGACTTTGCCTATTTTTCTCAGATAATGGCTCTTAAATTGCCAAAGTAACGCCAATATTCAAAGGAGGGGATGCAGCTAATGTTAGTAACTATCGCCCTATCTCTGTTCTTCCTGTATTTTCAAAAATTTTAGAGAGAATCTTATATAACAAAATCAACACTCATCATTCTGTTAATAATACTTTATTTAATAATCAATATTGTTTCAAAAAAAATAACTTCACAGAGCATGCAATACTTCAGTTTACACGTAATATTAACGAGTCGTTTAATAAATCTGAATATACATTAGAAATTTTTATTGATTTATCAAAAGCTTTTTGATAAATCAATAAAAGTTTGCCGATGACACAAATTTATTTTTATCGCACAGCAACATTAATATATTATTTGAAATTATGAACTTAGAACTTAAAAAGGTTTCCGACTGGTTCAAATTAAATAAACTTTCAGTAAATATTGACAAAACAAACTAGACTCTATTTCACCCACTTTCCAAAAAAAAACTAATACCATACGAAACGCCATCTATATTCATTGATTATTCAAGTTAAAAGAGTAAAAACTACTCAGTTTTTAGGAATATATATTGATGAAAGTTTTACATGGAGACAACACATCGAAAATCTAAGCAACAAAATTTCAAAAAGTATTGGAATATTATACAAATCAAAAAGCTATTTAAACATGCGCACTTTAATGCAACTATATTATTCACTTATTCACTGCCATGTTAACTATGCAAATATTGCGTGGGGCAGTACTAACAAAAGTAAACTAGAGCCTCTTCATTGTCATCAGAAACATATAGCACGTTTAGTTAATTCTTGTGATAGACGAACTCATTCAAAGCCTCTCTTAAGAAAAATGAATGTTTTAAACATATATCAACTTAACGTATATAGTATTCTTTGTTTTATGTTCAAATGTAAAACAAAATTATCCCTGTCTCCTTTTCATAGTTTATTTATAACAAAACAAAAAAAATATATATAATCTACGAAATGATGATTTTTTGATGCAACCATTTTCGAAAACTAATCATTGCAAATTTTGCGTATCATTTCGGGGACCGTATCTTTGGAACAAAATTGTCTTAAATAACTTTGATTTTTCTTTTAAATGGAACTGCATATCTTTTGAAAGAAGTCGTTTTTGAAATTGACATTATACAAATGTACTTTTAAACCTTTTGAAATTCTTTTTATCTATTGTTTATATTGGTTTATATGGTTTGTAATGTATGATTTTTCTTGATATGATTTGTAACTCAATTATTTACGATCTTCAAGCCTATATTGCTATTATACTATCTGTCCAATTATCTTTAAGAAATTTTTTGTGACCTTTTTGTTTTTTTGTAGTTTTTTTAATTTAAATCTTGTTATTCTTTTATTATTGCATAACACTTTTTTATTTACTAACGGGTTATGCAAACCATCGTAACGGGTTATGCATAAGTCTTATTTGTCAAAGTAACGGGTTATGCATAAGTCTTATTTGTCAAAGTAACGAGTTATGAACTTTTTTTCTTGGAACTTCTTTTGAAACCGATTTAAATAAGTAGAGTAATTTTTCAACCTTCAACTTATTGTTTATTTTGAAGATCAAACATTAATGTATTTAAATCAATTTTTCATTTTTATCTAGACTTCTATACAAAAAAAAAATGACAAGGTTTGATCAAGAAGCCCTCGCAAAACGAATTGTAACGTTCGTTGAAAATCGTTCAAGTGATAAAAAAAAATTAACATTTTAAAAAAATAAACATTTTAAAAATGAAGGTATACCAAAGTCAACTATATTTAGTATTCTTGCAAGGTATGAGAAGTATGGTGTGTATAATGATTTGATTAGATCAGGTTGTCCTTCAAAAATGGATAAGAAAAAAGTCAAACGATTGATTAAAATGTTAAATAATTCAACTGGTATTAGTCAAAAGTATTTAGCTTTACATTTTAAGGTGAACCAAAGCACAATTTCAAGAACTATTAATTTCAAAACAGATATTAAATGCTACAAAAAACAAAAAGCACCTTTGTATGAAAAAGATCAACAACAGAGAGCAGCAACATCATCGAGAAGATTAGTTAATAAAGTATTCCATGAAAAAGATATAATCATGGATGACGAATAATATTTTAACCTATCAAACTCAAATATACCTAGAAATGATATATAATTTACAAATAATAAATTGTTAGCCCCTGATAATGTAAAATATAAGTTGAAAAAAAAATTCGAAGAAAAGGTATTGGTTTGGATTTGCATTTCTTCAAATGGATTTTGTGAACCTTATATACATAGATCAAAGAATTCAATAACATCCAATATATATGTGAAAGAATGTATGAAGAAAAGACTTATACCATTAGTTAGAAAACATCATAAAGATAATAATTTTGTGTTTTGGCCAGATCTTGCAACTGCTCATTATGCTAATAAAACAGAAAGTTGGTTTATTGATAATTCCATAGAATTTGTACAAAAATGCACTAATCCACCAAATGTTCCACAGGCTAGACCAATTGAAACATTTTGGGCTATTTTAAGTCAGATGGTA